TGCATCGCGCGAGTGAGAACCATTGTGTTCTATTGTATATATGACACGCTGGCGGGGGAAGTTGTTCCGAGGAGCTGTTGTTGTGTGTGGAGAGTGGGGATGTGCGGGGAGTGGGGGTGGGTGGGGAGTGCTGACTTGGTTGACTTTGACAGCCACGCTCTTTATATGCCTTCACGATATGGTCTGAGCGTCATCAAGACACATCAATACTAATCTAACCATCTTCGTTAACCATTGTCTTCTAGGCCTAATCATTGCCTATTTTTCAAGGGCGGTTATTCCCGAGGCCACGATCGGTGAGTATTCAAGGAAATGCAGTGCAATTTTTTGACGTGCATAGTCTGGTTATATTTTTATTTTCTTCTTCTCTGGGACTGCCTCGTGCTTTACCCTGATCCTGTGGAGAAGAATGGAAAGGAAGGAGGGAGGGGTTACAGATTGATGGATTGGATTATCTGCAGTTTGCATGACTCTTGTTCTTTCGTAGCCGAATTGTCGAGTGCAAGCCATGCTTCTGGTCAGGAGATATTGTCGTAAGATCTGGACCTTGAACAATACAATTTTACTTCTCCCTTTTGACTCCTCGAATGATCTAGGGTTATGACGCCGAGGACTCGTTCAGGAGCTATTTGTTCTGGCCTTACTCATTGATTTTTCTAAAAGGATTGTATCAGTTTCGCATTGAAGAGTCTGTCAACAATTGCTTGTGAATAGCGTGAGGTCTATTGATGCCTTCTCTTAACCTGGGTACTCCTAACGTATAGTAAAAAGGGAACAAGGAGCTTGCACACGGACTAAGCGCAACGCTTGAGCCTTGCGTTTTGACACTGAATATACTCCTTTTTTTTAATCTTGAAAAAGAGAAACATCCGCTCATTCTCTGTCTTTGAATCATGCCCCTCTTTTTCTAGCTGAGCACTTTGCGCCAGCAGGGGAGTAGCAATCCACTGGAAGGGAGGACTGGAGTCTGGACAGGAAAGCGGAATCAGTACAGCGAACGGCTATCACGATCATTCTATATTTAGAAATTCGCTGTTGGTGGCTCAAAAGAGTGAGAAAAATGATGAACCTTACTCACACCATTGACTTATACGTTTTGGTACGTTGAATAGTGATGGGCATAACAGATACTTATGTGTTGTGTACAAAGCTAGGAATATTTATGTGGGGAACAATTACTAAATTTTCCTTTACTTGGTAAGTTAAAGTTTGTCCTTATTCCATCCCTTCCAAGTAATCAATATTGAAAGAAATTATCAGGAGGCTCAAGTGGTAATACAATATAAGAGCAAGCAGAGTCAGAGTTCCCATCTCCCCCTCCCTCCTCCTCCCCATCTCTCTCTCTCTCTTTCTCTATCGACAGAGATGAGAAAATCCGAAACATTGTCATTGATTTTGTTCTCATCCTTGTCTTCGTCCGTAATGGCCACTGACCCATCCAGTGTATCACTTCCTCTATCGTTCCCGAAGGAACAATTATGAGGCATCTGGCAAAGGATTGGACATTCACCGACTATATATGCGGCGTTTTGACAATACTGATCAGAACACCATGTGTGCAGTATCAGCTCAGGTGACTTTCATACAGGAACGTAGCCTTGCTTGTTGGTTCGGTTTCCTACATCAGCATGCTCCAATCACAAGGTAGCAGTGCGTTGAAGAGGGAATCCTCCTCTTCATCCTCCATTTATATCAGTGTGAGGTTTACTCCAATGGCCAGCGTATCTTCTATTGTTGGTGCACAGTGTGGGGATGGCAACTTCACTATCCTGTTGCTCTCATCCTTTCCTAAGTTTGCACGATCATCGGAAAGGGCGATGTTGCGCGATAGCAGCTGCATAACGTTAGTTGCTCCCATCGTATTGTCGAATGATATGGAACAGGCGTTGGGCAGCCCTGTAACGGTTTCCTTACCTATACTCCGCTTCTTTGTTGGCCCAGGCTTATCTTCTTCGTCATCTGCATGCTTGATTTGATGCTTCCCGCCCACCCGAACAATGCAACCTTGCAAAGTCGTTCCTTTCACTCTTCTTACAACTCTGACTGCGGCCTCACTTTTTGCGAGCCTTAGGCTTAGGTACAGGCGGGAAGGCAATGTTAAGAAGTTCTAGACTTTATGTCAGTTCCGTGCTGCACTTATATACGGTGGTCCAGCTAGCCGTTGCAAGAATTTTTTCAAACCTTTGTTGGAAAGGTCTGAGGCTCGTTGCTTTCGGATTTCAAGGGCCTCAGCTGAATATATATATATTAATTAGGAACTGTAACACAGAATGAGCAAGTCGGCTTACCATTTCTTTTACGTTTTGGGTCTATGCCGTTTGCAGCTTGCTCTGTTTATGGTGCTGAAGGCATCAGTACAGACGTTGATGGTGCCGGAGGTTGAGGGTTTGGACGAGTTGGAGAAATGTATACTTATGTTCAAGAGCCAGAGTGTACATGCAAATTGCGGCTGTCTGGACGACCTCCGAGAGACGCATAACTGTGCCGACGTTCCGGATCTTCCTGCTTGCTAGAACAAATTAACGAACTTGTAAAGTCCGTATCGTCGAACCAAAAATTAAAAATTAAAGTTGTCTGCACGCGGGACTCAGAAGTGTTCCTCTTCCCGTACGGGCCTCCCATCCTCGCATGTGCTAAACCACAACAATAACACCACCAACACCAACACATGAACATCACTTAGCTCAACTTCACGAGTTGAGACGGGAGAGTCAGAGACCAACAACTCACTTGCACCCTATCCAACAAACGCCCCTAGCCACAACCGCCGCACCACTCGACGACTCGACCAA